TGAAGATGTTTTGTAAGGAACTTTGCTGCTCATCCCTCGACTATTACAGTACATAAAATACTCTATGTATTAAGTTAGAATATAACCTATTTGTGTATCAAATTTCATTCATATTTGCTCAGTAGTTTTTGTGTGAAAGAGTAACAAACATCCATCCATCAAATAATCATTATTCACATATTATAACTGTGTTCTTTGAATAAAATTTTGGCCAAAGATAGACTAAAAAACATGGCCGCCTAGGTGGTCTGTGCTGACACAAATTTATAATTGTAAAATCAACATTTTTGAAAAAAAAGAGCAACAATTTAGTTTCTAGTCTCGTTCTTTTCAATTGAAATTTAATTCCGAATGGGCGGTATAATCATAAAAAAAGACTATTCAAAAATGTTTGCAGTTAATTTTATTCGTATAAAAAAATATAATCTTATTGTTGTGTAGACGTGTTAGTATGTGCGCACCCTAAGGACGACTCGAATTGTTTTTTCGCCGCCTTAGCTGGAATGATACGAAATGTTGCCTTCTACCTTATATAGCCATCGATGTGATTCCACACTTATTTTGAACTCGAACCCATGATCACATAATTTTCTTGTTCAATCCCTATTATTTTCGCTCGTCCCTCTACTAAAATCGAATATGGAATTAAACTAACAAACGAAAGCTAAAACATACGGATTTCCAGAGGGAGACTTTGTACAAAAATCGTTTTGCTTGAGTACCTCTGTCCCATTCGTGTTTCTACCGTGAAGCACTTGTGTTTGCATGACTGTGTTTCGGTTAGAAGGGTGGGATATGGCGTGAATTTACAGGGTACAGAGGAATAACATCTGAGTCTTCAGGAATTGCAACGCATGGGGGGTATCATGGGCGAAACAGTACACTCTGTTGTCCACGGTACTGCTCATGTCTATAGGCGACGATTACCGCTTTCCATCAGGTGGGCCGTCAGCTTGTTTGCCATTCTAAGTTGTATATAAAAAAAAAAGAGAAATGGGGTTAGAACGAAAGGATAACGATGAACAAAACTGTTCGCAAATACAGTCGTTATGTTTGTGGTTTACAAAAAATTGACTTCGATTATGGCTAAACCAGTAATTTTGAGTTTTAAAAACTGAACTACCCGAGAGATTTTTATTAAAATTTTGGATGAAATGGATGGAATCAATCTGTAAGTATATCCTTTTAGGTAAAAATAGATTTTTCCAAAACGTTTTTAGAACCGAGAGAGTACAACAGTCAAACATAAAACAAAATACAATGGAATTATTTTTAATTCGATTGTATTTCTGAATTTAATAATTTTAATTTTAGATTCTTTTTATTTTTGAAGTCGATTGAAAAAAAGGAAAGAATGTTCTAAGAATACTTTTAATAGGTTTATATTAAAACAATTTGGGAGAAGCAGGAGGAGGGGGAACGGGGAAAGAGGGAGGTTTCGGTTTTTTATTCTTTACCTGACTTATGTAAAAACATAAAAAGATGATGCCTTCAAGACAGTCATGGATTTGAGATCATTATAAATTCATTATAAAGTATATTTAAAATCGCATTATTGTTTTTGTGCGTTATATACCGCAGTCAGCGGTTAAACCATGTGGTCCATTATCAACAACTATTCTTTGTTCATATCAAGGATCACTATCAAGTACGACCAGAGGGAGACTTTGTACAAAAGTCGTTTGATTGGGCACTTCTGTCCCATACGTGTTTCTACCGTGAAGCAGTTGTGTTTGCATGGCTATGTTTCGGTTTGAAGGGTGGAATTTGGCAGTAAATTTGATGCATTCGGGGGCATGATACTCCCATACGTTGCCATTCCTGAGGACTCAGGTGTTATTCCTCTGTACCCAGTAAATTCATGTCAACTGCTTCACGGTTGAAACAAGAATGGGACAGAGGTACCTAAGCAATCGACTTTTGTACAAAGTCTCGCTCTGGTAAAATTCGTGTACGTTGGCGGAGTAAGAGTTGATAGGTGTAGTTGAAAGCACGTCTAAGAGTCTACGATGAAATGTTTCTTAAATTTCAGGACCTTGCGAAAAACAAATTTCATGTTAAAAATTACATGTTACGTACATTTGAAAACTATTAAAAAATGTATAAATATCGTTCGTTTGGACTTTTATGGTAGTATTTCATGTATAATATAGTATATGTCATATATGTGTAAGTATATTTGTTATTCATATATATTTATTCGTTTATATATGTAATTTTAGTATGTATGTATATCAATAATTACTAGTACCGCATTCGAGTATTCTGACACTTCCCTATGGTTGACTGGGAGAGAATGCTTTTAGCATTAAGTTCGCCGTGTACACATATTTGTACTAATGAATATTTATGTGATGAACGAAATGTTAAGTTCCATTTACTGGGTTGATTTTTGTATTAACAAAAATACGAAATTGAGTTCGAAAATTTGGAATTTCATTTCACGGTAAATTTCCAGTTGGCTCATCGTGACTTTTTTTTGTAATGAATGATATAGGAATGGTGACCCCGCCTGCGTTATCGGTATACGCTGGCGGGGCACCAGTGAGGGATGACAGGTGACGATAAAAGCAAGTCAGTTAGCCCATCGTGACGAATTCCATTACGATTAACCACGATGGTTTCCAGGGTAACCGCATGGAGGTCGACCTGACAGGGTGTATTGCTAGCAATGGGTCAATTAGACCCCATTACTAACAATCCCTTTCCCCCGGCTCATTGTGACGAATTCATGAATAATTGAACACAACGAAATCCAAGGGCGACCGCGTGGAGGTCGACCTGATATATATTGTTAGAAGTGGGGTTATTAGATCCCCATTACCAATCATCCCTTTCCCCTCCTAGAGATAGATTTACAATATGACATCGTAAGACAGTAAGACTTGATTCCGTTATCCAGCAAAATTATTTGGGTGTAAATTTAGAATTGAGTCATATAAAATTTTTAATACTACCAAAGTGTCGCACGGCTGACCTCGGCCTCACCTGATGGAAGTGGTGATGAGGTCGAAGGTGAGGCGCGCGGGCGCATGTGCTGGCAATTCGCTATTCTCGAAAAGGTCTAGATTATAGGAGCATTTACCTCATTAAAGGTGATAGGGCTTCGAATTCTTAGTGATATTGTAAACTAGCTTTTACACGCGACTTCGTCTACGTAACCGGGATATGTTTATTGACCGGGATAAAATGTAATTAATGTTCTTTTATATACCATAATACAATAATACATACATATTCAATTTAATATTATATATTATTTTAAATAAATAAATAAATTTATATATTCAGGTATATCATTATTACTACACATAGTATAAAACAAAGTCGCTTCCCGTTTGTCTGTCCCTATGCATGCTTAGATCTTTAAAACTATGTAATGGATTTTGATGTATTTGTTTTAATAGATAGAGTGATTCAAGAGGAAGGTTTATATGTATAATACATGCGTAATAGTAGAGGAACACTGATATTTTTAGAGGTTTCTAATGTGATGTGATGTAATGTGCACCCGTGCGAAGCCGGGGCGGATTGCTAGTTAAATATATAATTATTGTTGTTTTTTTAATATATGGTAATGGAATGGTAGCCTCGCTTGTGTACCAGTGAGGGATGATAAGTGAGAACGAAAGGGAAGATCAGTTAGCCCATCGTGATGTATATGATGCCCACCTGGAATTTATCATGATTATTTCCAGAAGGACCACAGGGAGGTCGACCTGTCAGGGTATATTGTTAGCAATGGGACTGGTAGACCGCATCCCTTCCCTCCTAACGATTGCTGTTAAGGCACTAAGCGCTGGCGAACTTATTTGCATATAAACTAATATATTAATTAATTTATTTTATTTTTTACATAGTTATAACGTCCTCATGTATAACACAGGCATATTTTATACCACATTTACTTACTTTTACCGTGTATATGAAGGATTGTGGGTAGGTATCTATTGCTTAAGTACACTCGCATACAGTTTTATTTGTAAGTATATGTTGTAATAATTTCCAATGTACAATTTGCGATTTAAGCATAAAATATATGAAATAAATAATAATAATGAGAATATATCATTTACTTATTTATTTATTACATCCACTGGGTGAGCCTTATAGTCTTCCAATACGCTCACCCAGGAAAGCATGAGTACAATAACATATAAAAAGGAATATTACACTAAAATAACAAAAATAATATAAAAAGATTTAACTCGAACAAAAAACGTCTGAACACAAATACTCTGTGGTCACTCGACGAAACTCCAGCAAGTCGGAGGCAAATACATCCAATTGCGGATACTGGCTCAAAATATCATTGAGTAGTTTCAATGCAAGAGACAGTGTTATATGTAGACTGAGCTTTCTGTTGAGGTTTTTCCATGAGATTACAGCATGGGGTTCTTCAAAAAAAAGGAGTAGGGAAGTTTCTTCAAGGTCGCTAACGCGCGCGTAATGATTTTTTTATGCAACTTAGCTTAGCAAACAAGCTGACGACCCACCTGATGGAAAGTGGTAACCGTCGCCTATAGACATAATGATAGGCCTCTGGTAATGCAGGCGTTCATAGGCTACGGTAACCGCTTGCCACCAGGTGGGCCGTATACTTGTTTGCAACCTCAATGGTATTTTAAAAAAAATATCCCGAATTAATAAATAGGGCACATTTTAATCTAACTGACGTAGGCAAACCTGTGGGCAGAACTGCAGCTACTTACTTATATTTTAAATACGCAAACTTTCAAACTATCTCTCATCATCAACTGGTCCAAAAATGCAGCCTCCACGTGAATTTAAATTAACAGCACCGATTTCGCATACATAAGGAATTTCAAGGTTCGCTTTATCTGTTATCATTGCTTATCCAAGTATCGAACCAAACAACGTAGCATCCCTGTCCGAGGCTGTGGAATTGGCGTTCAAACGGTATGCGAGACCAACCTGTTCTGAGGGGCGCCCCCCCATAATCCCGTCTCCACCGGTCTCCGCTAGTGCCTTCCGAGCCTCGGTTCAAGACGGTGCACCGCGCGCGGCCGTTTCACATACGACAAATTTAACACAAACGTGATTAATTTGTGAAAAGTGTTCTATATAGTAAACCGTGTATGTCGGATTGCAGTGTAGTGTTCATACGTTTCACTTTTTCTGTGTTGTTTTAATTCATACGCGTTTTGAAATCCAAAATCTTTATACTCCATACAAATAAAACGAGAATTGATTATGTTTGTGAACGAAATTGTGTTATGTTGAAAGGATTCTGGAGGTTTGTAAGACTTTTTCTGTTTTCAATATTGTCACTTGTGTAGTTACATATCTAACTTTCGTCCGAGAAACCCAACTTTCGCGGGAGATTGCGTGCTTGGAACGTTTTCTGAGACACATTTCCTATCAAGCTAAACTTATTGGCTACCAACCAACATTTTAAGTAAAGCGTGGTTTGGAGTGTGAAGTGTGTGGATAAAGTTATAAAGTAACTATAAATATTGTTAAAAATTGTAAATAAATTTCGTTACCAGTGAATAGATGGGTATAAAGACATGCAGACGTTAAATAACAATAGTTCAATAAACACATTTGCGTTCGTGATTAGATTGAAAATGTATAATGTCTTAGGCGGTTAGTAAAGTTAGGAAGTGATAGAAATAACTAATAAGGTAACTTTACGCTTAACAATTTGTACGCTAAGATTTACCTGCTGCTAATACCTACTTATGAATATGAAAAGCTTGTAAAATGTATGGATATTCGTTACTTAGTCACACTTAAACAATTACAACAGATTTGAATGAAATTTAGTAAAGGAGTAGGCTTTTTTAGTATATGTAATGTCGAAGCAAGTATTGTATAGGCAAGTTATATCCTAACTTCGTTAATAGGTAATTTTATTTCTAGCACGTGGAGTTATATAAATAATATAAATTTAAAAATTCATATTTTTGAATGTTCAAATTTAATGAACATGATTAAAGTAAAATGTGATCTTGTTCTCTCATCCTTCGATTAGAAAACAGAAAGAGAGGAAGTGTAAAAAAAACCCGATCGTAGTATAAAATTTTATCATTCCTCAGCCCGCGGCGATTATTTCTATTCTACTAGACAGAGCGGGCAATTTAAAACAACTTAAAAATAAGTTACAAAATCTAGAATTTTCTGTTATACATATCAGTAAGGATCAATGTGTTTTTTTAATAGTTTTTTTTTAGTATTCTTCTTACTCTGATTATAATTAATTTATCTCGTGGTTTCGAGTTATTTAATAGGTAGTATTCATGCAAAATCATAAGTTTATAAAAGTTTCGAGTTTATTGCTTATTCTATTCGACTGAATTTGCATTTTGAATTGTCCATGATGGCGAGTATGATGTTAGGGAGTTTTATGGTGAATTATCTATACTTATAATAAATCTGTAGAGAGGTCAATTCTGTACATGAAATACATTTCCAAAATAACTATCAGGGCGTGATTAGTGATCGATACTGATGCCAAAAATGCAATCAGTAAAATTTTTGTCTGTCTGTCTGTATGTTCGTTCTAGAAACAAAAACTACTCGACGGATTTTAACTAAACTCGGTACAATTATTCTTCATACTGCAGGGCAGGTTATAGTATACTTTTCATCACGCTACGATCAATAGGAGCAGAGCAGTGAAGGCAAATGTTGGGAAAACGGGAGAAGTTACTCCATTTTTAAGCTTCCGTCGCGTGTGCAGCCTTAATGTACACTTTTTAAAATGTAAAAATATCCACCCGTGCGATGCCGGGACGGGCCGCTAGTAAATAAACAATTGTCTTTTAATAATAAATTGCTTGCGTATATTTGACAGAAAATTATGCCAAAAAAAAAACAATAGAAGAACAGTGTCGCAATCTTCAACATGCCCGGAGTGGAATTATAATAAAAAAAAAACGCCTAAAATTAAGATATTTAAATATTAATTAAAATTATATATATATATATAATCTTCATTAAAATATTAATAAGGATTATGGTATTTAGGTGGTTAAAAAGAGAGGTGATACATTATATTTTTATTCTTTCACTATAGAAACGTTCTATCAGCATACAACAAGATAATTTTGCTCCACAAAACACTGACTTTATTTATGGTGAAATCAGTTAGTTTGAATTAAGAACCAAACTTCTGAATCGATCTTATATAATCTGCTATGGAATCACTATGAAAGTATAACCTAATAAATAAGATAAAAAAAATCTAAATCGGTTTAAAATGACAAAGGTAAAAAAAACAAACATAAAAAAATACAACCGAAATGAGAATCTCGACATTTTTCGAAGTCGGCTAAAAAGAGTCGGTAGTCGCAAGGAAAGCCGTCTCAGTTTCTGCTAAGCTATTTCAAGTTAGTGCTTAATCAGATGAGATTGTATCTAATATGTTCAAATAAACATAAATAATACACTTGAATTCCTATCTCAGCCGTTTGATAATATTTGCTAATCTATAAATCAGAGATATGCAACAGTAGGTAATTGGCAACGTAATAAATTGTATCCATTACTCGAGCGAGGGAAATAAATGTTATTAGTTATTAGCTAATATTGAACTAGTTTTGAACTAGTTCTTAACTTAAAGCTTGAAGAAGAAATAAATTTTAAACTGTAACCTTGTTATTCATAAAATTTGTTAGTTCCAAGTGGCTTGGCTATGGAGAAGGATATACTCGGAGTTTCTCTTTGTGTTAGAATAAATATAGTGGAAAAATTAATGAATGACATTAATAAGAAATCGTCACAGTCGTAGAATACTGACGGATCTGACGAATATTACATATAAAGATCCGTCAGTATTCTACGACTGTGACGAAATGTTATTTATTTACATTTACTATATTATTGAGTTCCTTTTTAAGGCTTTATTATAACAGATTAATAAATAAGGATTGAAGTAAATAATATAGGTGAAGTGATACTAAAGATGATTTTAAAGTTTAACAATCTTTTCCCGACAATCTTTGAGTAGAGAAATTATAGTATAATTATCTACAGCTAGAGTCAATTTTGAAGGAACATTTTTTATCTCTATTTTCAAAACTAAATGTTAACAATCGTAAAATTTTACTTTTTTACTGACGTTGTAAAAGCGATTTACATTTTGGCGATAACGGGTCGACCTTAGGCCCAATCAATCGCCACAAAATCTGGCATACATGTAGAATCTAGTATGCAGTCGTTATTTTAGTTTAAAAAATTAAATACTAAATACATTTTAATGAAATTCCTATGGGAATAATAAAGTAAAAAAGAAATTTTAAAATGTTTTATAAACCACGGAGCTCTGAGGTAATAATCATAACAAAAGACAAGTGAAATGAGAATCTGATCCTTTTTCGAAGTCGGTAAAATAAGCATGATTTTAACTATATTACAATTATTATACAATGAACACAATTCTCGCTAAATTGCCCACATTTTGTTAAACTATTTTATATATTTTAAAGATATTATTTTAGGGATATTTCTAGAGAATGACATTTCAGAATCGTTCTCCATAAACGGACAACGTTGCAAATATGAGTACTTTATTTGTATTTATATCTAATAATATTATAGAGAGGGAATATTTGATTGTTTGTTTGTTTGTAATTGATAAACTTTAAAAGTACTCGAACGATTTAAAAAATTATTTAATCTATGGAAAGTTACAGTATTAGTGAATAACATAGGGTCTATATATTGGGCCTATGTTATTCACGATATCTATTTATTGGGTTTCTCTAAACATTAATGGCGGATAAAGGTCATCACCTTTTTCGATATCGCTCATATCGGTCTGATATCTATTTTCAAATATGTTAAAAATCCAATATTATTTTTTGGATAACAGACTTTTAACACATTCGTTATTAGACCAATGTGTACATAGATATTGTAACTAAAATATATAGTTATCGCTATATATTATCCACCCCTAGTATCTATCTTTTTGAAGTTGGGCCGGATCACTAGTCCTTTTAATATAATAAATTGAAAGTTTGTAACGACGGACACTCTTTTACGTTTGTTACTCTTTTACACAAAAATTACTAAACGGATTCGAATGAAATTTGGTACACAGCTTAATTGTATCCTACCTTAGTACATAGGACACTTTATGCACTGAAATACGCGTAACAAAGCTGCTAGATATAGTAAGTATAAAATAAATTAAACGCAACCCCAAGATCACCAAAGCGTGATCAGAGACATGGTTCGAGTCGAATGGCGGGTGTGTTGAAGTGTGTACAGGATTGATTACAATCACATTGAATGCAAAGCAGGCCGATATGCAGCGTGGAGTGACTAAAGTGCTTATTGTTTGCGCTGGGCTGTTTTCGTCTTGAATTCTATATGATGCTATTAAAGTTAGCGCTGTGTAAGACGAGAAATATCCATACTAATATTATTAATGTGAAATATTATAAAGAGGAAAACTTTGTTTGTTTGTTTGTTTGGTTGTAATGAATAGGCTCAAAAACTACTGGATCGTTTTTAAAAATTCTTTCACCATTCGAAAGCTACATTATCCACGAGTAACGTAGTGTAAATTTTATTTTGGATAAAAATAGGGTTCCGTAAAATATTTGGGTTTATCGGACACAAGGTGTAAAAAATCAACCAGAAAAGTTACTTATTTTGCGTACGCCGCCTAAACTATAAAAGATAGAACAATAAAACGTTCTAATTAATTGTAGATCTTAATATATATAATTATAACTTTATTGCACAAATATGATTGTAACAAATTCAGTACTGGAAATTACAGTAAAAGTAGGTACGAATTAATTAGTACATTTGGATCAGCTTAAACATTTTTGTTTTGAACTAGGTTATAAAACCTGTATCTCAGACAACAGCGCTCAACTCTCATTAAATACTATAATATTAGTTCAGCAAAGTTTTTAGTGCTACATATTAGAATGTTGATTTTATATAAATTCATTTAATTATAACTATTAGTAGTAATGGAAATTGTGTATAAATGTGCTCCCTGTGTGTAGTGTAATTTGAATGTATGTGTGTGGGAGGGTGCGTAAAATATTTGTTGTTTTTTATACAACTTAGAATGGCAAACAAGCTGACAGCCCACCTGATGGAAAGTGGTAACCGTCGCCTATAGACATGAGCTGTACCGTGGACATAACAGAGTATACTGTTTCGCCCATGATACCCCCCATGCGTTGCCATTCCTGAGGACTCAGGTGTTATTCCTCTGTACCCTGTAAATTCACGCCATATCCCACCCTTTAAACCGAAACACAGCTA